GTTCACCGACAACTCTACTGACCAATAGCCACTGCACAAATTGTATGCCCAATTTTAGGATTTTTTGTATTGATTTGAAATGATTTTCTGAATCTCTCTGCTCATCACTTAATAAGAAAGCTGTTAAAACTACTGTACTGATGGAAAAAATATTGACTTTGATGCAAGGGTTACCTCCTGTGTATTCTTTGAAGTTGACATTTTATGTGTAATTTTCCATTTAAGTTATTTTTAATTTTAATTTATTTATGATTTATTTATTTAAGAAAATGGAAAAAAAGAAAAGATGTTTAACTTTTTATTTATTTGTTTTTGTTCTGTTTATATTTCATTTTTATTATTCTTTATATATTTATTGTTTTGTATTCTGGTTGTGTATGTAATTTATTGCTATGACTGTATCCCCTGTGAATGTTATATCTTCAATAAAAAAAATACAAATAAAAAATAAGGAATCACTAGCAGAAACTCGAAAAAAAAAAGCCACTGCACAAAACAAATCCCAGCCGGGTCCGTCACTTTTTTTGGGTCCCCTTGAAACATTTCCGTTGTGGTTCGTGCTATTTGCAGCGCGTTTCTTCATTTGCATGTGTTGTGAGGATTTGCAGCGTTTCTTCATTTGCATGTGTTGTGAGGATTTGCAGCGTTTCTTCATTTGCATGTGTTGTGAGGATTTGCAGCGTTTCTTCATTTGCATGTGTTGTGAGGATTTGCAGCGTTTCTTCATTTGCATGTGTTGTGAGGATTTGCAGCGCGTGTGTTGTCAAACTGATGAAGATGTTTTCTTAATTTGCTGGTGTTTTTTCAATTTGCATGCGTTTTCTTAAGTTGCAGCGCGTTGAGCTCTCTCGGCCACCGTATCTTTTAGGTGTTTATAAAATGATCTGGTGTTCTAGACAACTTGTTTGGTCATGTTTTCCTGTTTCAGCACACGACGTGATTGGCCGACAAAAAATAGCCGTTAATATTTTAAGTTTAATAAATTGAGATGTATATATTGTATATTTATTTTATTAATGGTTTTTAGTCATTTTAGAGCTTTTTATGTGCTACCATATGAAATATATTTATTGTATTTATTTCCATAAGCACAAAGTGACGGCCCAGGAGAGAACACATTTATTGTGTCAATCTGTCCAAAGGCTTTTTTTTTTTAAATTACACATTGTGTGTTCATATCCTACACAACATGTGTCAGAATGCTGTCAACACAACCATGTGTGTTGTTTTTGACACATCTGTTTTTGCAGTGTAGGATGAGGGGCTAGTTGTGCATGAGCAGTATGAATATCATCACTGTAACTCGTTTCTGATTGAAGGAGGGAGTCATGTTGCAACCATCCCCACTCTTCCCCTAGTACTTTATTTTTCTTGTTTTGTTTGCAGCTGAGAGGCATTAACCTGTACTAAACTAACCCTCCATAGCAGGTTATGTTCAGGGAGTAATTTGCTAAAGCTGCTTACATTCTGTTGCGTCATTTTTTTGGAAACAAAAGCTACACTTATCCGTAAACTTACCCGAGTATGTCACATAACCTGCGTTCTGGTCAGATGGCTGTATTATAATAGAGAAGATGGAAGAAAACGGCCATATACTGACACAGAAATACACAACAAATCTGTATATAATGTGCATAAAGTCAGGGTACAGAACAAATTGCATCCCTTTTGTTGTTATTATATTGCAGATAGGTGACACAAGGTGAAGGTGACCCTGCAATCTTGTTTGTAAGTCAGTGATAAACAAATGATAAAATAAATGATTTAAATGGATTAATAGGCTTAATCTCTTCATAATCATTACGAAGTCACTAGTGGAATCATTTGGAGAACCTCTCAGGCTATCATTTCTATGAGAAACTTATAACACGGAACCTATAAGCTCCCGGAAGAACTTTAATAAGTAACCTCAGTAATCCTATCAATTTAAGTTTCTTGAATACAGAGTATTTCTCCAGTGTGGAAATCTGAAAACTCCCCAATGACAGATTAAGTGTGTTATCCCGTGATGAATCACATTGAATTACACGCAATTAGATTGACAAATAAAGAAAGAGACCTTTTTTTTTTTTTTTTTTTTCATTTTATGAGCACCTTCCACACACTAAACTGCTGATACAGACATTCCAATGTGATGTTAATCACTTAGATCACAGTAGGAAAATGATAAGAGATATTTGATAAACGCATTAATGCACAGATTTGAAACCGTTACAAAGTACATTTGTTAGCCATGCTGGCAGCAGCACCCTCAGTGGCTCCCACAGCCCCCAGGATGGCTTGACCTGATGAAGGGATCCCAGCAGCACCTAAAGACATCAATTATCCCAGGTGAAAGGCCATACACCAGTTTTATTGTTAAACTGTTAATAGAGATTTTTTTTTTACCTGCTGCTGCACCAGATGCATAAGAGTAACTAGAGGATGGAAAAAAACAAGTAAACTGTTTGTTTGTCATTTAAGTTTATACATTTATATTAGAAGATACTTACAGGGATCCATCTTGGACTCTGCTAAAGCACACAAACTGGATATTCTTAATTTGTTCTAAACTCTGGGTCGTCCGCATTGATAGCTCAGTGGGAGGATGCTTTTCAAGTAAGGAAACCAAAACCACAAACAAAGAGAGGAACTTTAGACAAACATCGGATATTAATATTAAATTATATACACAAATATAAATATAAAGTGGGAAACGATGTTACTTTATTACTTCAAATAATTACTAATATTACTTAAATAAATTCATGCAATTATTTCTTTAAACATACAATTGTTTGTTTGCTTATCTTTCAATCTCACGTACTATAACGTGATTATTATTTGTTGAAATACTATCCTGCAAATGCTTTGGCCATACCATAGTAGATTGGGTAGACTGTGGGCCATACACTTTAGCTTCTACCAGTAAAGCACTGACTAGAGCTAGATCACACACTGCCCCCTGCCGACGGATCCAGCGCGTCACGAGTCGTTAGCTGGCTCAGAGGGTCAACAGGAAGTACTACTTGTGTCCCATCACAGTTCTCAAGCGGAAAAGGTTGTGGCATTAACGACAACGCGTATGGCGTCCCAACAACGTAAGCGAGAATACAAGTCCTTCTCCCATTATGCGCTGGCTCTTCGATCACAGTGAGAAACGCGGTGAGTGTTTTATCTAGCGTCTCGCGCGAAGTGGGCGTGCACGCTCTCAGTTCGTTTAGCGCGAGGCCTTCCTGCGGTGCACGCGACGCGACTCGAGACGAGTTTGTGCAAAAAACCGCGTCGAATGTGCCGCTAACTATATATGCACATTTGGGAGGCGGTGTCGAACGCTTGTTGTTGATAAAAGGGAGTTTAATTCGGTCTGGTGAGCGGGTGGAATACACGCAGGCTAGTTGGGAAAGGCCCGCGGAAGCGTTTGGTGGTGTGTTTGTTTTGTGAGGCTTTTTTTAAATGCCGTGCTCTGCTTAAACGACGAATGCATCTTTTTCAAACACTAACGCCGTTTTTTAAAGCTGCCTTTTCTGCTCGGAGAGAGTCAGTGAATGTGTGAGCTGCTGAGGGCCGCATGCGCTAGCTGTCTGTGCACGTGAGCCGATCTAGAGCCAAAATAAAAACACTGAAAGCGAAATGTTTCATTTAACACTTGAAACAATTAATTTTTTTGCAGTGTTTGTGTTGTCTGTAATGCACGTGTACAGTTTGACACCTGATGCTTGCTGTTCTAATTCATTTGACAAACATTTCTGTAGCTGTGTTATTACAAGTAGGGGAGAGCGGGGCTAGATGTCACTCTTTATTGAAATGAATATTTCCTAGAGTAGTTTTTTTTGAACGTATGTATAGGCAC